GACTCTAGCTCTTTAAATATACTGAATTGCGTCGTTTACGGTTCATCAATTCGGATAGAATTCGACTCTGTCGTATCATTTTACTCGTAATGATTTTCAGAGACGGTGAAATTCTATATTATCAGCAGAATAGTCGTTCTTTCACACATTTCAGATTTCATACAGAATTGTTAGAGGTGACAAGATGTTTCTCCTCATTTCTTCCATCTCTTCTTTGACGGTTCATGTGAGTAATTATCCATTTTTCGTGGAGGCTAAATTGAAACTCATTTTAGCATAATCCAGAAATCCCGATGTTGACATATTACCAGGTTTTTTATCAATGATTTTTGCAACGTAAAGGCCGTTGTAATATCTTTTTGATTCGCCGCATGTCAATTCATGTTGTAGCTTGGTTGTTGTAGGTTGTTAATAACATGATAAAAAAGCAGCTAACGGAGAGATCATTCCAACGCTCACTATAAGACAAAACAATCATTCATGAAGATGTTGAATGTGTTATTCCTGGCATTCTATAGTATTTTCCTGGCCATCAAGGAGTGACTGTGTGACTTTATCTCCTGCGGTCCTGAATTTTTGTTGCTTTCACTGAAAATGCTGCTCACGAATTCATTGGAAATTATTTTTCGAAGGAACCATATGGGGAATTTCCTGGAATGTGCAGTTGCTTCATATCGAGGCCAGTCAGATATTATCAAAGCCAATACAATTTTATCTATCCTACGTTCAGTATCCTCAGTGGTGCCACTGGATTGTTCCATCTGTCCCTGAATTGAATTAGAAACTTTGGCTGGCCTCAATATTGGTCCATATGAAGGTTTAGAGAGTAATTGAATCATTCTCCTGATGATTCGGTTGCAGTGGATGAACTCTATATGGGTGATATATGGTTGATTATCGCACTCTCCACTTCTGGAGTTAATTGCTCTATCTCCATTATTGTTTTCTCTGAATATAGTTCGAAATCACCGAGGTCGATTTTGCTTTTAGTCGATAAACCTGTATCGTCACAATTTTGATGAAATTGATTTTACTAAATGAGATGAGTTTAGTGAGCAATAAATGACTAGAGAAATTAAGTGATAGTTCAGGACTAGTAAAAATAAGAATTCTTGATATAATGAAGCTCCGAGGTATATATTTCATATGAGCAATTCAGTACTCATTTCAATTTAGGATGATGGAAACCGAAATAGTTTTTGATCAAGCATTACGTTAATAACCACTATTTCATGCACGGGAAGAATGAAGAGAGCTGAGGAAATTACGAGTTTCATTAACAGACAGATTTCAAGGAATTTTCCTACAAATTCCATCTTCATAGGGAGGATGAATGAATTGGAACTAAAGAAATAATTACAGTGTTATATCAAGGTTCAGTTATTGTATGAGAAAATTCAATAAAGTATATATTTGGAAAGAAAAGGAAGAAGGTGAATGTTTCCTACTGTAATCTTCGTCATCTAATCAAGGACGGCCCACAAAAAACAATGTGATTTATATATAGAAATAAAAAGAAGGGCCACCGCAAAAGCCGAAGGAAGTAGATAACGTTTTTTACGCCTTCAGATAATATGTCCTCTCCTAGACATTTCGATTTTATTTCTCTCAGTAAAATTCTCACGCTGTTTGGAATCAGGCCAGAACTGTATAATTTGTTTCTTGTTCCGGCTTTGCCAAGCCAAATTTATATGGTTCATTTTTGAGTGAAGTACAGGAACTACTCGTTTTCTGATGTTATTTTCTTGCGACCATATTATCTTCGTGTTTCCAATTGAAAGAGCTATTCTGATCTGAACCACAATTCTGAAATCTGTTTAATTTGTTCTGGTTTATTTAAATACCTCATGTTGGTACCTACAATTTAATAAATCACTCATGAGTCACGATCATGAGCTAGCTATATGAATAAAGCACTGAATTTGAAGAAGAAAGCTAGAAAGATCACGTAACGAAGGCATTCCAATCTTAACTATATTTCAGTTATATACTGAATCGCTCTTATAGATAAAGAGAGCGGAATTGAAAAAGGTTGCCTCGATCAGAAACAGTAGTGAGGGTAAGTGGAAATCTGTGACGTGATCACATTCAAAATGTCATGTTTGTTTCATAAAAATTAATGTACTATCACAGATAAATGAATTGATAGACATAATATGTTCTGATTGAGGCAACCTTCTATAGGAATATTTCTCAATTCAACCAACCTTGAAAGAGGAATGAAAAATCACAAGAGTGACAAATCACAAAGAGTACCTGCGAGCCATCAGGTGACTTATAGCGAATTTCTTTGGCAGGAACTAGTTGAGTGTTTTTCCACTGAGTATATATTTTTACTTCTGTTGAACACATGCGAGTAAGAAGGAAACATATACATTGAGTGCAGAAACACTCCACCAGTCCCTGCCAATGGAATTCGCCTTTATAGACGATCACGAATTGAACTTGTTGAAATTTCGAATCGAATTATCATAGACTAGTAAACCATCCAATGAAATAGATAGTCATCAGCTGATCACTGTCAAAAAGTATACCTCTCTTTGTTGGTTCTTTTCATGTTCTATGTTGCGTAAGAAAGCATAATCTTGTATCACGACACACTGACACATATGTTTATTCGTGACACTCTGTGTAGTGGAAGTGTGTTATTATGCTTTGTTTGCATATGGTATGTTGGAGGAATTGCGCATGTCCATACGAAACGAGGTCTATTTTGATAGCAAAAAGGGAGATTTCCCTGAAATCCCTGCGAGCACGTCTCATCATATCCGACTGGATGCTATAACCCTCAAGGGTCTTGTAAAATCTTTTCTCCGGTGCGAGTACAGTGTTGCCAGAATCCCAGAACAAGCATGCAATCTGAATAAATTATGGTGTCACGTTCTCCCTAAATAATGTAATTTTTCACTTCACTCCTAATCGACATAACCTCAATGGCACTGATAATGATATGTGAGTATGATTCTGATTTTCTGACCTACCTTTCAATTATGGTTATCGAGTGTCAAAGCAAGAGATGAGAACATCTGCTGAAAATGTTTTGAAACAAATAATATTCCTGAGATTTTCGCAATCACTTTCTCGAACGAATGAATGAGTTGCCAAAGGGCATCTTGTCAATTCCTGTCTTTCAAGAATTATCTTCAAATTAGAGAAAATATAGAGGTTCTGGCAACACTGCTCGCGGCCGCTCTCCGCGCGGCGAAAACACGGTACAGCGCCCGGTCAGAGGCTGGCGGCGGTCTGGAGCAGAGATAGAGGAAGAAAGAGGGTGAGATAGACAGAGATAGAACTCGCGTCGCCATGACGACCCTCCCGAGCATCGATCTGGCCCCACCCGACGAGGTGCGCGCGGGGCAACGGTCGCCCGGCTGCCACGCGATACCGGCGACACTGGTGCCCGGAAGGTGGTATGTAGCAGTGTTGCCAGGTCAGAAAAGATTTCTGTAGGTGAACTTATACAAAAACTACACGCTAAATTTTCACCATTTGCATTGATAGTGTGTCACTTTTGCACTTCGTACCTTGAAGAATTTCCTATTCTCCACACTATTGACATGAATATTGACTGTACAGAGATTAACAGCTGATATTTTGTCATCTTGAATAATCGAATGATAATAATATTGATAATAGCAAAGAAGCCAGAGATCTCAAGTACTACTCAGTAAAATGCGTAGGGAAATAATCGTCCCAAAAACCGACCTAGATATGAATGAGAATTTGGTGTGAAAAATGTCCAAATATTGTATGATGGCTTCCTCTAGTATCTTCATACATTCCATTTTTTTTAAATCATGATTGCTTTATACAGTACTTATGTCTGAAAGAGTGGGCAAAATAATGATATGAATGAGTTTTTTATTATCAATTTCAAGGGGAAAGGTTCATAAAAAGTTCTGCAATGCCTGGAACCGATGATTTCAAATATCAGATATCGAATTTTTTGTTGTATATGAGGTGATTCAAAAAATGTTGACAGTAGTCAAAAATCACTCCCAAATATCCAATGACATCTATCTAGTACGAACATCAGAAGTTACCAAGATGGATTGACATGGAAAAACTGTTTCATTATGATTGAATCACGAAAAACATTATTGTTTATGAATATTTATGCGGAACCCATTACATACATACAGATAAGACCGAGAACGAAAATATCAGATATTAAATATTTCTAGTCGTATACGAGGTAGGGATGTCTGAGCATATACATTTTCATGAATGACCATCTATCGTGAAATCAAATAATGATGAATTTCTAATACAAATCGATTCCAAGGAACTTGCTGGTCAACTTTTCTCATCAACATTTCTCAATGTTGTCGAAAATAGAAGCACTCTACTCTCGAGAAAAATCAACAATTTTTGACATACCTGATATACGAAATAAAAAATGATATACCTATCTGACATTTCTATTTTCAGTTTCAGGTCTTGCATGACTCATTATGAAGAATGAAAAAATTGATAAGAGAGTTTTCCATTTGTTGCCAACTTTTTCAGATATACTCGTAGTTTTTCCATCACTATACTTGTATAAATCTCCGTCAATTCCACTATTAATTCTGATTCAAGATGACCATCAATTGGTTTATGATTTGTCTGCTTGTCATTGCATTTTCTCAGACCTGGCAACGCTGCAGAAAACTCAGAAATATTGCAGGCCAGGGCACCGCTGCACTTCCAATTACGATCAAGCGATTGAGTCCAGCCCTGTAATTGAGATTGTCCCTATTTTAAGCAACGATTACTTGCTATGATGTCCTTGACAGAAGTGAAATAGATAGATTACCCACTCGGACTATCCTTATTCAACAATCCTGTTCTCTTTTGTTCAAGAAAGCAACAACTTTTACGTATAAAATGAATGAAAAATTCGGACGGAGTTCAATAAGTCTGTTATCACTTCAATTATAATATAGGAAACCGAATCTCAAGTACAGGAAAGGACTGAAAATGAACGCTTAGCATTAGTGATTCGTGCAAGAACTCACCTCCATAGTTTGGTCTTACTCTTTTATCGTAGCTGACACTGAAGGAGTCCAGGATGGCCGAAACGTTGACGTCCCCCAGGTAGCTTCCTCCGGCTCCCGGCGATCTGGAATTAAGATAGTATGAAATAGCCATTATATTTTACAGGGTGATATCTGAATATGAGGCCAAATCTCAACAGGGTATTATCGAAATGAATACAATCAATTCTAACAGGTTTGAATATACGTACAGTGTGTCTCACTTCTAATGGAAACACCCCTGTATCAGACTTATTCGTTGGGTGAGGATCCTGCAATTCGCTGGAGCGAGATATATACCAAAAATCTACTTTATAACCAAGTAGAGTAATCTTCAGTGATATACACTGCTCGCCAACAGACATGAAACCACCCCAATTTCCGAAAAATGATATTAGGAGTCATAATATGTTGACAATCACATCGGATTCGGAATCCGGACGTCCAATACACCAACTATTCGTATTTTTCATGTAAAATGTTCAGTTCTGAAAATTTCCTTCCTGTCTCACTTTTCATGGAAACACCCCCGTATCTACGTGATCGTTGACATTAGATCCTGAAACTAGCTAGATTGTTCTAAAAAAAATTGTTCTAAAATTGTTCTATCCGTCATTCGGTTGCCCCCTTACGAGCAAACCTCAGAAGTTTTCGAGAGTCTTGTGCGAGCAAGGAATGACCTTTTAACGTGTGATCCCAAACACTATCTATCTATCTTGAGATATACCAAAAATCTACTCTATGAACAAGTGGGGTCATCTTCATTGAAATACACTGCTAGCCAACAGCCATGGAACTACCCCAATTTCCGGAAAATGATATAAGGAGGCAAAATAGGTTGAAAATCACTTTGGATTCGGAATCAGGACGTCCAATTCACTCAATATTCATATTTGTCCTAGAACAAATTCCGTTCTGAAAATTTCACTTTTGTCTCACCTTTTATAGACACACCCGTATCTTACGTAATTATCGAGTTATAGTTGTTCCAGGAGCAAGAAATATTCGAAAGATAGCCAATGACCAATTGAAATTATCATCAGTGGTATACACTGCTCGCTAGCATCCATGGAACCACCTACATGTCCGGAAAATCATATAAGCAAACAAGATAGGTTGGAAATCACTGCATATTCGGGAACAGATAACAGAACTTAAAATACACTAAGTACTCATATACCTTCAGAAAAAAATTACGTTCAGAATAGATATAATAAATTCTGTCTCTCTTCTCATGAAAGCACCCCCAGTATCTTATCTCTCTTATTCAATCATTATTGATGTAGAAGTCTGAAATTTTTAGGAGCAAGAAAGATACCAATGACCAAGTAGGATCATCTTCAATGATACACTTCTCGCCAGCAGCCACTGTATCACCGACATTCCAGGAGGAAAAATTTATTGAATCAGAAAATAAACTCAATGGTGGTTCTGAAATTGATGATCATAAAGTCAGTTCTCACCAGGGATGATGAAATAACAACCAGAACTAGTACAAGTGGATAGATTATCAGAAGTGATCCAATGGATCAGAAATCATGACGGGTGTGATCGAAATGGATTTTAAAGGAATAAATTCGTCAATAGTATGCGGAAAATAGTAACCGAAAATGATGCGTCAAAATATGGGAAGTTGGTGAATTGGACTTCCTGTTTTCGAATCCGAAGTGATTTTTAACCTATCTTGCCTGTTGATATTATTTTCTGAACATGTGTGTAATTCCAAGGCTGTTGGCGAGTAGTGTATATCACTGGAGATGACCCGACTTGGTTATAGAATACATTTTATCTCTCGCTTCAGCAAATTTCAGGATACCAACACAACGATTACGCAAGATGAGGGGGTTTCTCAATGACAAGAGAGACAAAAATGCATTCCTTAGAACTGAAAATTCTTCGAAAAAAATATGGATAGTTGAAGAATTGGGCATGCTGATTCCGAATCCGAAGTGATTTTCAACCATTTTTGCCTCCTAATATAATTTTCCGGAATTTGGGGTTGTTCTATGGCTGTATGCGAGCAGTGTAATTCACTGAAGATGACTCCACTTTTTCATAGAGTGCATTCTTGATATATCTGTTGCTTCAGCAAATTTCAGTATTCTTACCCAACGATTACGTAAGATACAGGGGTGTTTCCATTAGAAGTGAATTACTGGCAAGGTATGGTTGTCTATAGACAATCAAAGTTTTTCATTAAGGAAAAAAATGAGAACCAAACGACATCGGGTCACTTCTTTTGGCCCACCTGTTATATGCATTATATTATGAGGTAGGTCCCAGTTAACACAGATTGATCCCAGAGATATAGAAGGGCATCACATTCATGCCACACATCACATCCGTGACTCGAAATGAAAGTCCCACTGAAATCACAATAACTGCTATTCCGGACCCTTTTGGTCATTTTATGATTAACATTATGATACCGAATGAATCTCACATTACGTATCAAGCGACTCCTCATTCAACATCGAAATTGATTGATTCTGTTTGTTATATAAATAGACAAGAATATGAGGTTCTAGTTAGTCTCTTGTTTGATAGGGAGCCTCACAAATTCACCTACATTTCAGGTCTCAAATCCAATAAAATGTGACGAAAGTTGCGAATGTTTTGTAAAATAAAGAGTCCCCTCTCTGGCAATACCAATGATGTATTTTTGTAATTCGCATTGTTACCTAGTGAGACATGAATGTGACACCCCATCAGGGATGTTTGTGGTTACTGGGGTACTATTTTCAGATATTTTGTTAAGCTTAATATTGAGCAATCATTGATACCATCTCATCGCCCAATTGAACCATGTGAAGACGTAGCAAGCGACCACTCGCGATTACTCTTTCTGTATAGACAAGGCAAAAGTTTTATGGAGTTTGCACCGGGTGGAATTCGAAGCCGTGTAGGATTTATAGTGATAGTTGGAAACAGTGTTCCATACTTTTCTGTTTCGTTTCTTTTTTGTTACGGTCGAGAGAGTGACAGAAGGGAGTCGTTCTAGGAAATACCCATGGGATCTTATTATTTGTATGTTTCTTTTACTCACCTGCACCTACAACAGTATTTATACTCAATAATAATAATAATAATAATAATATTCGTTTTATTCAATGTACAATATGCAGCATCTACAGAAAACAGGGTGTTGCGAAATTCGACATACAACGCTTGACAGGTGATAGCCCTCGTGATTTCATAATCACTGAGATAGGGACATACGGTATTCAAGTATTCAGTTCTCGAGATACAGGGTGTGAAGTTGAGAAATAAAAATAGTTGTTCCGCAATATCTCAAGAATAATTGAAAATAATGCAGTCAATATCGGTATATGCGGTTTCATCTTTGAATGGGTAATTTTTTGACCAGAAAGCCATTCCGGACATTTCATCCAGTGGTGCCCTACAGGAAGTTGTGGTAACTTTTCCTTCCATATTTTCTACACCACTGATTGAATTTCGATTATTTACAATTTCTCGAATTCATTGTTCAATTTTCCTCAAAAAATGCATCAACTTCAATTGAGCTGAAATGAACAGTTTCCGAGATATTCGACCCAAAATAAAATATTGCATAGTAATATTTCATCATTTTCAGTAGTAGAAAATTGCGAAAATATTTTTCTGGTGTTGAGTGAATTAGATACTATTCTCTCATAGAACAACGTTCTTGATAATGAGACTGTGATCGGAGCGCTTTAAAATAGTTAATACATTCCCTAAACTGTGTTTAAGTTTCAAGATTTTATTTCAGTTTTCGAGATATTCAGATCTCTGAATTACAATTGCCAGTTCAAAGTGGCAATTGTCAGTTCAAAGTGGCAATTGCCAGTTCAAAGTGGCATTGCCAGTTCAAAGTGGCAATTGCCACTGGTGTGATATTATTAGTGAGGTTATGATGTTGAGGCATAATTTTAAACATTTTGAAATGTAACAATCCAATAAACAAGCAACAATAATTATATTAACGTTACCAATACATAATATCACACTAGTGAACTGTCGGAATATCATTTGCACAGCCTACTGTACTGCATTTCATGGAGCAATAGTGAAAAATAAAATGAGCCCTAAATAATTTAAAGAACCACAGACAAGTTATTCTGTCAAACGAATGAATCTATCGATAGATAAACTGATTTGACTCTAATGATGTTGATCTTTGAAGAACGTTATTTTTTTGTTAAATAATTGGATTTTGAATAACGAGTTCAATATGAAAATGACAATAAAACATCTGTCAAATCGGATGCGCGCTCGTAAAACGTAGGTCACTTCATGAATTTTTTCCTGGTCTTTCCGAATATCGAAACAGATCTACGAAATTTGTAGATATTATGCCTAATTTCCGAAAATGGAGGTTTATCGAACCTGTCCACAGGTAACTAATTCTTCAGGTTGGGAAAGTACGATATATAAGCTAGCCAATGTTAGTTTAGTTCATCGTACCAGTATATCACCTGACGAAACTACTGTGTTAGCGAAACATGTCGTGTGTTTGAAAATTTTGTGGAAATCTTATCGTTTCTGAAGTTTTTACACAATCTAATAAATTTCGAACGCAATTGAGTAAACCCTACTCCACGTATTCGAACGCACCTCAAGAGAAGGACATACTATATTCTGAACTTTTCTGAATACCTACTACTTCGAATACATCAATTTCTTTCATCGGATATTCGTATACCATTATCGGGAAAGAAGAAGAACATCTGCAATACAGAAACAAAACAATCATTCAGAACGAGTATACCCTGCTCTGGACAAACTCCTCTGGAGACTCTTGCCGGAAATAACCCAACATATCCAGAGATAAGAATATTGAAAGGAATGCAGTTGACTGTTGAGATAAAATAAAATCCCTGCCCAACCCAATAAAGCTGAGGCAAATGTCCTTGTATCTAGATGAAATCAGGATTGTCCCGTTGGACATCAAATCGAGGGAACGAATGCACTAGCGATGATATCGAGAAAAAAATTAAACTGGTTCTTACATCCTGTAACTAAATTGGGTCAATTTCTTCATCTATCAGCGATAAAAACGAAACTATAGTAAAGAAAACGATCAATCCTGAAAAATGAATATGGA